CAAGGTTATCTTCAGGCCTCAGGAATATCCTGGAATTTAAGATTAGGCAAAAACACAGTCAGCAAAAGCCTTTAAAACCGTGTTTGTTTGTTTGATTTCACTCTATTTTACAGTACGAACAAGTAAAAACTGTTCAGAGCTTGTTCCAGCAGGAAATCAGAGGCCAACATTTGGCTTGCGGAGGCACTTGGAGGCAGGCGGAGTGTGAAGGGAGGCCCTCGTGTACTTCACGTAGATAGAGACTGCTGGCCTGGCGGCTGAACAGATGCCGGTGTCTGATTAGGTGAATTAGGTGCACATATTTGGCTTGCTCTTGTAGGTCTAAAATTTCGCCATGGCCCCAAATTAGAGAAGCTTTCAGTTTTTAACCAAATCCTGGCTATTTGGTGCTAATTATTGCAGGGGTACAGTTTGGCTTCCAGGGTTGTTTGCTAGCAATAGTGGTCTCACTTCAGACAAGACTGCCTTGTCCAGTGTGCTGAATGGGCCGATTTCCTCAGCTGGTTGCTGCAGATTGCTGGCCTATAAGTATTATTCTGTGTCTATACATATTATCTTACCATTTGTAAATACCATCTCTTAGCTTATAGAGGTTTCTAAGAAAGTAACTGTGAATATATATTAAGATGCTAATGGAAGAATTATCTATGAATTATCTTCCTCTGGGAGGAAGATGGAAATAATATAAATTTACAACAATAAAGATCCTGTTAAATAATATACTGAATTGATGCAATGTATATAACTATGATTTATGGATTATAAATAAGAATATTTAACCTGGTGTGATTCCCTTCTGCCGTCTGTTCTCTGGTGCAGTAGCTGCTCACGTCAGCCTGCATTCTCTTCCACCACTCTGTGGGAAGACTTGACAGATGTGGATGCGAGCCTCCCAAGGCCCCAGAGCCGCCTTTTAGGTTGTGAACTAAAGACCAACAAAGATGATCATTTTAAGGTGTATGGTGATGAAAATCAATACCAGTTGTCATTAACGACGGTTAGCTTAGGGGCTATTGCAAAGGATGAACTGCACCTTGTCGATGCAGATGCTATGAATTACAAAGGCAGTCCGGTTAAAAGAACACCAGCAACTTTGAAAATGTCCCTACTGTCAATGGTTTCCATTGGGGGCATTGAGATTAGCGCCACCTATCGCGTGAAGGTGGAAGTGTGGGTCAGGGCCTGTGCATGTTAGTGGACAGCAAAGAGGAGCTGTGGAGGAAGACGCAGTCAGATGGGGAGAGGAAGAGGATGTAAAGCTCTTCAGTCCACCTGGAAAGCGGTTTGCCTCTGGGAGTGGAAGCAGGGTTCCACAGAAGAAAATAAAGCAAGCTGTCAGTGAAGATGGCGATGGTTTTGATGAGGAGGAAACTGAAGAGAAAGCTCCAGTGAAGAAATTGATGAGAGATATGCCGGCCCAAAATACAACAAATCAAACCAGAATGGAAAAGACTCAAAGCCATCAACACCAAAAGGCCAAGAATCCTCAGAAATCAGGAAAAGACTCCTAAAACACCCCAACAGCCTGGTTCCCTAAAAGACATTAAAGCAAAAATGCAACCAAGTGTAGAAAAAGGTGGTTCCCTTCCCAAAGTGGAAGCCAGGTTCATCAGTTATGCGAAGAATTGCTCTGGATGACTGGCCAGGAGGCTAGCCAAGATCTCTGGGGGTGGAGGAAGTCTCTTTCAGAAAAGTTTAAATGGTTTGTTAAAATTTCTGTCTTAGGGCCGGTGGGATAGCTCAGTGGACTAAACACCTGCTTTGGCAATGCAGGGACCAGGGTTCGATCCCCAGTCCTGCATGCTGTGCTGGATCCACCCCCAGAGCTCCCTGAGCTGATGACTGAGTCCAGATGTGGTGGTGTACACCTGTAATCCCAGGGCGGGGGAGGCTGAAAACAGCAGGATCACTAGGAGTCCAAGCTGCGTAGTGAGACCCTGTATCAAATACATAAGATGAAAAAAAATTTTCTGTCTTATTTCATTTCTGTAACAGTTGATATCTGGCTATCCTTTTTGTAATACAAGTGAAAACTGTCCCAGCATGTTTAATGAACATCCAGGTTCCATTGCCAAGAATGTATTGTCCAAAATGCCTGTTTAAAAAAAAAA